TCTTGTGGCCAGGACTAATTCCGTGTCGGATTTAGCCCATCGAAAGGTAAACCAATTTTTATTTCATGTCGTTTTATCTAAAATAGATGTACATATTTTACGTTAAATACTGTAAATATTTTAAAGTTTAGCATCACATACATCACTTAGTTATGGATTTAATAGCAGGGTAGACTCGGCCCTCTAGCCTTGGTTGTCAACCATTATGAGAGAAGCACAACTGTGCATTGAAAACTAAAAAGAAGGCAATAAGAGGTCACTCCTCTTTCTCTAAAAAATCATGCTATGTCCTGAAGGAATCTAGAACTTATAGAAGATTAAATAAATGTTTTAAAATGTTGTATTATAAATTTCATAAATATAGCAAAAGACGGAACTAATGTTAAAGAAAGTCGTAATGTCAAGCTGACACTCCAAATAAATGATTCTTGACCGTCCATCGATGTCAGTTTTTATTCAGCTATCTGTAAAGTTGTAAGATCAAAACATCGATTATGATAATCATCAGTCCTATGAGCGGGTGTCATCTTAGGGTCACTAAGCATCTCACCAGTTCCCTCAACATATCTGGGTTGAAACCCGGAGTGGTATTCATTCACACGTAGTATGTCTAGAGCAATTAGACCTGACGGAATCCATCCATCTTCAAGTCTATCCACAGCCGATATAATCCAACCTGAATGATCGACTTGGTCCCTGGACACGTGGTCGTTGATTCCACTCTGGGGGCCCAACGCTACCTTTGTTTTTTGCGGGTGCGTGTGAGGGAGAGTGGTAAACAATGAAATTAATATCTACTGGTCTAGGGGTCGGATGCCTTATGAATATGTACCTCTTGACATATGTTTTTTTTTAAAAATTAGCCTTTCCTTCTCGAAACAGTAGATATTAATTTCACCGTTTAAAATAACAAGAATATCTACTCAAACACGTGTACACACTAAATATAATGTTTAAAGTAATAATTAATTTTAAATTATTTGCACAAATTTATTATTTTTATGCTAGTAACATTTTTGTACTTGATGATTTTACTTTAAAAGGCTTTACGTTAGTGAAGCTTATTTTAGAGAGTTTTTTTTCGAAATAAATGAAAATAATTAAAAACTCTCACACCTGCCGAAATGTTGAAAATCACTTATAGAAATTTTTATAAATAGACTCTTAGACACTGATAGTTCAATGCTAAGACTTTACAAAAAGGTTTCTGCATAGCTTTCAATTTCTCTTTCGAATATTTAGTACATATCGTACCAGAATCATTGCATAAGTTGTCTCTGAAAAAGCCGATACACCCTAACAAAGGTAATCTAAATTCTAGACATTATTCTAAGTTCTTAATGAACCGAATATATATATTATTTGAACATACAGTTCGTCTCTTATTGAAAATCTTCTCTGTTCTGTTGAATGGGAAGAATTGAAATCTGGCTGAATCTCGTCTGCCTTTTCAAACACAGGAAGAAGACTTCTTTTGTTGACATGTTCGTCCAGTTCTTTTTCCGCTGTCTTCTTTTTGTTTTAAATTTTATTCTGTCTTCATGAGTTCAGCTAGCTTGTAGAAAACCATGTACGAAAATTCACTTGTTATTTTTCAGCACTGAGAAACTTTTCCTACAAGGATCCAAGGAAAAGACCAATTTAATTTACATGCCCGTTGAATGTATACACCATCCTGAAAGGAGGCGGAGTCAACACCAAATTAAAACTAACCCGATTTCCTTTTTTGGTTCTATGTCGTCAATTGGGAGCATTGAGCGTTTGTTTGTCTCTTTCTTCTCCCTTTCTTCCTTTTTTTTCTTTTCTTTTGCTTCTTAAAAATGAAGAAGTCAGGCGATATTACTTTTACAACGAAATCGTCTGTAGATTATTTTTTAATCAATTTTTCTAACAATAACAGTGTAATTTGTAGTTAAATATAAATACATTTACTTATTACTTTATTTTATTTAACATTTATAGATAACGTTTTACATATTAATTTTACTACGAAAATCTATTTAATAATAAAACCGATTTCTATTAATAATAATAATAATAATTATTCTTATATTTATGCATTGCTGGTTACTTATTTTGTATTTATCTCTATTCAACTGTGTTCTCTCTGCTCACAGGCCACTGAGATTGTAGCCCTGATGATAAAGAATATGCCATCCAAAGTATTTATTCCTTTAACCAGATCAAATGGTGTCGGTCTTTTCTCTGCTCCTGAAGGAGTGACCATATATCCAGAGAACAAGCAATTGGCTGACAGACCCGAATGTTACGGTAAGCAAGTCAAAGATTCCTTCTACCAGTTTCCTTTTTTGTTTTAATCCACCGATAATACAGAAAGTCAAATATGTTGGACATTAAATATCTGTATATCGAATTCAGAAGAGTTTGTTTAGTATAGAAGGCCTAATCCTTTTGTGTACAACCCACAAATTTGTTATACGTACATACAGGACCTAAAGGAAGGTGCCTGAGGTGTGGAAAAAATTGCTTTCTTGCTTTTCTGACCGTTTGGTGTAAAATAATTTCTTTTATTTTTACAAGAGTTAGATTAGACCAAAATTGAAGTACTGCTGCCCAACCTTAGCTGAAGCTGTTCAATCCTTTCCAGCCTTGACAGATTTAAAAATCGTTTAGGCTGATGCACCTTGCAGTCTCTTTCCGACAAACGCAACGTCATATGTCTCTTACTTTTCTATCGCTATTTCCATGGCAAATGTTGAGCTCTATTCTTTAGTCCTACCAGATCAGGCCTTTACTACGAGGATACACCGTCATCTTTCCCCGGAGTCGAATAAACCTCAATCCATCTGTATTCCAAATGTAAAGAGAATCTTTGAATCACACATATTAGTCGAACTTCAGTATAAAAATATTAATATATTGAAAAGCAAAAATATTTGTGTACTTTGAAAAAGCAATTTCACAGAACCATTCTATATTTTTCTATTTTTCATAGTATTTCTTCATTGGAAATTTACCAAAGACATGTCCGTCTTTTCGCTGCTAATTGCTATTATGTAGTTATCTTATTACATGACCAATGACGCTGAAAGTATTTACATAAAAAAAATAGCAAAAATAGTGTAAAATAGATATTTCTTTGTTATATATTTCATTTCGTTTACTTAACCAGTTCAATACTATCCCGTCGATTCGCATTTGCTTAGCTTGTATGTTTCTCTACTGAACCAGAGTGTATAGCTTTTTTTCTTACGATCCGACCCAGAGATTGAATTCCCGACGGCCAGGAAAGTAGATATCTTTTAACCAGCGCTTCAATCCACGGTTTCATGTAACTCTTGGAAAGCGAAACGAGAACAATTCACAACTGTAAATTGAATAAAGGGTTATAATAAAACAAGATATATAAGAGATGATAACTGGGTTCTCCATACTTTCGGCCTTGAACCATATCTAAGCTACGCTTAGAAAATCACCGTATACGAGTTGATTGTTTTTCCAAGTGGTGTAGTATTTATCATGATGGCAAACGGATTCTAGAAATCCAAGTTCGAATTGAGACCGAAGCTGATCATAATACTTTTAGGAAAGACAAAAATTCCTCTTTCTTTCCGTTCAATCCCCTGGCATGCCATGACGAAGGAAAAGATGGATGCCTGAATGCCTACCAGAATGACTTAGGGAATAACAGCAAAAATTAAATAATAACAAAATATAAGACGGTATAATAACATTTTAAAGAGTCTTATATCGTAATGATATATCGTGAAGATATATTGAAATATCGTAATGAGCAAAAATAGTACGTTTTTAACATTTGATTTGCCAAAGGACTGTGCAAATGACGTCTTCAGATAAATCAATAAAATTGTAGAATTCACGGCGTACCTCCCCTTTAAAATTATCTCCCTTTCAGAGAATAGCCTCGTCAGGTCGAGGCTTTTAAATGGATGCCATGGCGCCAAATCCATTCACAAATAACTAAACTATAAGCAGTATACAACCGCTTCGTTAGATCAATGATGAAAAAAGCGAGTGAAACCTGGGGCTCTTGGCAAAGATCATTCTTCTTTGAACATTATGGACTTACAATACGGATTCACAAACAAAGAACTATACTAAATAACAGAAACCACATCATTTGAGGACTACCAACAGTGGCAACAGCTAAAATGGATAGCACATGTAACACGATGAGGAAATAAAGGCATAACCAAGATGTTAACATTCCATACCATTTCAAATAAAAGGTTAGGAAGGAACCCCTCACCCCCCTCCTGGCAAGAGCGACAGTAGCTTCTGGACTTAGGAAACGTGTTTTCCTGAAAAAAATTTTTAAGAGAAAGATTTTTTAAATTTCAACCGAAAACAGTACTGGCTGCTCGGTCAGTGAATGGAAAATGTTTCCTTGGAGGGAAACGGTGGATATTACAATTAAAATTTACCTTTGAAATCATCTCTTCTTTAAAGAAACTCGTCTTGGACTTTAAAATGATCTCCCCTTTAAGGAATCTTATCTTTAACTGCCCATTAAAATGATCACACAAATTTGTTTTATGACCTCGGAACTTAAACCGACGAAACATCATGAAAGAAAAATTCGCTAAAAATACAAAATATGATAGCTATTAAATACTTCATACAAGCAGAGAAAGTTATTTCGAAAATAAAAGGTTTTAATTTTTTCTTTTTAAACATACGACAGTATTTTTGTTTGTGGTATGTACTGTAGGCGTGTTTTTCTCTAAACTTTCTAGTGTAGTATTTCTCTCTCTCTCTCTCTCTCTCTCACACACACACACACATATACATATACACACAGATACACATTCACACAGACAAAGACAGACACACACACACACACAAAGACATACATATATATATATATATATATATATATATAGAATGAATCTGTTCTCTTACTCTGCCTTCAGCATCAAAAGCGCTTTTGTAAATTTTTCTCCATTCATGTTCGGATTAACTGTGCTATTTTTTAAAATTGTTTTATTTTGTCAATTAGGATTATGTTGAGTTTGTTATTCTCTGCTTTCTTTCCCGCCTAGACGATTATCATCGTTTTGTTGTTTTTATTTTATTTCACAAATATTGGCGCTTTTTCCGATTGCTAGCCATCGGGAGTCGTCGATGTGTCACAGGACTTGCTCAACATTTCTACACTAATTTTCTTAACGTTCTAGTGTGTGTGTGTGTGTGTGTGTGTGTGTGTGTGTGTTTGTGTGTGTGTGTGTGTGTGTGTGAGTCTGCATGCACGTGTGCAGGTGTATCCTCTACAAATGAATGATTTTGGTGTGTATCGGAGAGCAGAAATACCTGTGTACAATTCCCATTCAAATTACATTTTTGGGGGAGGGGGGGGCTTTCAAAATAAAGCTTACATTGAAATTTATCAATGTATAATATTTACGAGTTACTGCTCAAAAGCACCTGCTATCTGAATGTAGCACGGATTTTACGGCTATCCTTTGGGAGCAGTCCTCCTTGTAGAATCAATGCATGTCGAAAGAGACATTGTCAGGATATATGTTAAAATAAGCAACTTTTTCCATGATCTTTTCTTATTTATCGATTCTTTTTGTGTAGCGCAGCTTATTCTTGTTAAATAAATAAATATGCAATAGACTTATTTCAAACCAGAATTCTACAAATTGTTATATCATTATCCAGTGAATTTTGAGGACTATACTCATATTTTTAATAGGACTAGACTAATTTTTGTTGCGTTTTTAATGGTACCGACTTCATCTTTATTGATCTGAATGGGCCTAGACTCATCTGACCCGTTTCAATGGAATTATCCTCATCTTTCTTCCTTTTTTGCTGGACAATCCTCATCTTTATTGCTTTTTAATGGGACTACCCTCATCTTCGTTACTTTGTAATGGGATTAACCTAATTTCTGTTGCTTTTAGTAGGACGAACCTAATCTTTATTGTATCTAATGAGCCTAACCTAATGTATGGTGCCTTTTTACGGAAACTATTCGCATTTTCCTTGCTTTCTAATGGGACTATTCTCAACTTTGTTGCTTTTAGTGGGACTATCCTGAGACAATTGAAATTTCTAGGGCACATAATGATGGATAGAGGGCTTGGAGAATTTGACACTGACATGAGATATTAAAAGTAAGAGAGACAGAGGAAAGCAGCGAATTATTTATCTAACAAGTTTGTGCAATTTGTTGGTAGAACAGGGATTACGATAGGTAGCCCAAAAGACGAACCTTACTAAGAGCTACAAAGGAACTTGTTGAGAGTCATGATTGTCCACATCCTGAAAGGACAAGGCACAGAAGAAGAAGAATCAACTTTGTTGTTTTTTGGTGTTGCTATCCTCATGTTTTATGCATTTGAATGAAACTTTCATCCTATCGTTCTTCTTCTATATGCCGTGTCCCTTCGGGACGTTTGGCAGTCATAGATCTCTATAATTTCCTGTCCTTTTTAGCTTTTAATAAATTTTCTCTTTTTGTTATCACTCCTAAACCTTGTCCCACCATCCATTTATTCAAACTCACTATTTTAGTTAAGTAGCTCCACGAAAACGTAAAAAAGTCAGTATACCGTGATGAAAACATGCTTCAAACTTAATGAAATCATAGTTTTATCGTGAAAATCTTTATTTTATTAAGAGGAAGGATTAAAGTATTTTGATTATTTAATTAATTTTTTTTTTTTTTTTTAGAACATTCGAATATTTGATTAAAAAAAATCGTTTTTCTTGCGTCAGCGGTTACACTAATATTTTAGCATAGCAAATTTTTGCCTCTTTTTACGGTGACAGACACATTAATTTTGAAATTCTTGCAAAAAAAACAATTGTCAGATTTTAACGAAATTTTCAGGACTTATTCACTAATGAATTAAATTATTTTTTAAATATATTTTTACATGTGTTTCAGTCCCTTACTTAATTTTATGAAAACTTGAGAAATTCATTGAGATAATTTTTAGTGACTATTAAAAGCAAAATTCTTTGAAGAATTTAAATAGTCGAATATTTTTGCAAAATCAGACTCAGTGTTACTGAAAATCTATTCTTAATCCAATAATAAAAAAATACAATAAAACTAAGACATTACTTAATTAGAGAAGCTTTGTGTGGCTTTTATTAATAATATATATTAAAGACAATATTGTTTGAAGAAAAAAAATTTTTCGATGAAAAATGAATTTTTACAAGAATTGCTTTCATTTTTTTTCACTCATTTTAAATTGAATAATTTATAAAATTTTTAAATTTTTAAAAATTCATTTTTCAATGAGATTATTATTTATTATTTTTCATTAAGT